ACGTGACCCTTGTCTTATTGCCCTTCTTGGTGGAGGTGAAGCATGGCTGAACCTTGCAGGCAGGGGAGTCTGGACAGATGGTGGAGAGCTGTCGGTACAGACAAGCACAGTTTCAGTTGTGCCTGTGTGGGCTGGTCCCTCTCAATTTGCTTCACCTGCCCATAGACCCCCATGGCTGTTCTGCAGTGGGATTCTGAGGGCAGCTGGTGCGTGGCTGACCCCAGGGTCTTCCATGATAGAGGAGGGGGGCAAGAGCCCACTCTCCCAGGAAAGCTGGTAACACACGCATTCACTCTTCAGAGTGCTGGTCTCCCACATTGTGTGACCTCCCCAAAACAAACAAAAAACTCATTGCCTTCAAGTTGATTATGACTCATAGCAACCCTACAGGACAGAGTAGAACTGCGCCACAGAGTTTCCAAGGCTGTAAATCTTTATGGAAGCAGACTGCCGCATCTTTCTCCCTCGGAGAGGCTGGTGGGTTCAAACCGCCGACCTTCTGGGTAGCAGCTGAGCTCTTAACCACTGCACCACCAGGGCTCCTTTTACATTGTGTGAAAGACTCTTAAAATGTCCTTGTCATAAGGGACTGCGAGACCTTGGGCACATCCCTTCCCCAGTCTGGAGCTCAACTTCCCTATCTGTAAAATGAGCAGATGGACCCTATGACCTCTAAAGCAGTGCCTTTCATTTCTGGCATCTGATGCCCATCAACACACTCACTGGTTCAATCAAGGGATATTTACTGAACAGGATTAACAGCAAGTGGGAGACCAGGTGTCTGCCCTCAGTGGGCTCTCTCTCATAGAGGGGTTGCACATTAATGAATAAATTAATAATAATTAATGAATAAATTAATGAATAAATAGTGACAGGTTATAGTAAGACCTACGAAGCAAAAACAGGGAGGTCTGTGAAGTCAATTAATGGGGAGAACCTACTTTAGATTCAGTGATCTAAAAAGACCTTCTCTGATGAGGTGATGTTTAGTGGAAACCTGATGAGCAAGAAGGAAGCAGTCACACCAGGACTAGGGGACAGGAAGGATTATTGGTCTCTGACCCTGTGTGCTTTGGAAGAGGGGGGTAGGGTGGGAGCATCTGGGGCCGAGGCTGGTGGCTCACTGGGCTTTGCTAGGGTGAGGGTAGCATATAGGCCATGGAGAAGCACAGCAACACCCTCTCCTTCAGGAAGCCCTCCCTGACTCCAGCAGTGAAGTCGCTCATTCTCCCTTCTGGTTCATTAAACCCTTGGAGGTGTGTGCTTCCAAAGACAGGTGCCTTCCAGCCTCTGGTTGACCCACTAAATTCAAAACTTTCCCAGGAATTCTCCAGCAAGATAATGAGGATATAAGAGAGAGATTCACTGCAGAGGGAGGGATCTAAGTTAGACTCTAAGAAGGCCTTCAGCATCTGATCGGTTAGGAATATATAAGGATGCAGAAGGAGACCACGGACTTCCATATTCCAGGGTATTTTGCGGGCTGTAGGCTTTGCTTCCCAGGACTCTACAGGCTTGCTTGGTGATGGGGGTGGGGATGAAAGGAACTGGGATGGGGACTCCCCAGAGACGATACCTGTTTGTCCTCAGCAATAGATAGCCCTGCCAAGAGTGTATAAGTCATGTCACAAGCAGAATTCAGCCAGGATGACAGACGGAGGGAAAAGGAAGCTTGGCTGAGGGATATGGAGGGGATATAGACAGGAACCTGCTCGCTGCTAACGAAAAGGTTGGACATTTGAGCCCACCCAGAGGCACCATGGAAGAAAGGCCTGGCAATCTACTTCTGACAAATCAGCCATTGAAAACGCTATGGAACACAGTTCTCCTCAGACACACATGCAGTTGCCATGGGTTGAAATTGACTCGATGACAATTGGTAGTTGATACTCTGCGGAGGGAAAATCGTCCAGTCTGCGAAGTTCTTTTCAGGGCTCCCTCACCTTCTGGTTTTTCTTCCATCTCCCTTGTTTTGGGCCTCTTTCTCTTCCCCATCCCACTCCCCTGGGACCTCCCATTTGGGGAAAAAGGGTCAAATACCTTCACCCTGGAGGCGTGTTTGGGACAGTGGAGCCCAGAGAGGGTGATGCCAACTCCACTCCACGTGATTTCCGGTTCTGAGGGAGACCGCAGAGAGGCTATTCAGGAAGGAGTGAGGCCCTCAGCCTTACCTCTGCCTGCCAGAAGGGCGGTCCCGGGGCATCATAACATCTCTGTGAGCTGAGCTGTCTCAGAATCCCAGCCAGAGAGACTGAAGCCCCACTGGTTCCTCTCCCAGACCTTTTGCCATTGGGTTTTGTGGTATGTTCCCCATCACAGCCTGCCTGCCTTGCCATCGGCTCCCCACCCAGAGCGAGTGGTGGAGGGGCTGGGTCTGGAGCAGTGGGGCCTGGGATAGCTCTGGCCAACAACGCATGTTAGGGCAGCTCAGCACTGGGGCCAGCAGGCAGGGTCTCCGACACAGGCTAGGAGGATACATGTTCTTAAAAACACGGGCCCGACATTTGGCTTCTCACTGAGGGGTTGGAGCCTGCTGAATGTTTCATGGGCTTTGGCCTTCACAACCTTTCACTGAAACACAGTCTCACACTCAGACAAACACAGGGACATACAGACAAACACATGGACACACAGAAACAGAGACACTCACTACATGCATGCCCAAATACACACAAACTCACGTGCACGTACACAGACACCGGGTCTCACACCCACACCCAATAAACACAGAGACACACACACCCACAAAGACACCGGATCTCACACCCACACCCAATAAACACAGAGACACACACACCCACAAAGACACCGGGTCTCACACCCACACTCAACAAACACAGAGACACACACACCCACAAAGACACAGAGTCTCATATCCACACTCAACAAACACAGAGACACACACACCCACAAAGACACAGGGTCTCATATCCACACTCAACAAACACAGAGAGATACATATACACACACAAAGACACAGGGTCTCACACCCACACCCAACAAACACACAGAGAGACACACACACATACACACATTCAAACATCCCCAAACTCACACAAAGTCTCACACACAGAAAGACACATGGTCTCACATCCACACCTAACACACATGCACACAGATACACACACAGACATACAAACACACATACACAAAGACACAGGGCCTCCACCCACATCCAACAAACACAGAAGAACACACACAAGGTCTCACACTGATAGCCACACAAACACACACAAAGACAAGTGTTCATATCCACACACAAACATGCAGACTCCAACATTCCAAACCACACAGAAATTCACACATGCAGAAAGACACAGTCTTATGCCCACATCCACACGCACAAACTCATCTGCACACAGATAACACTCGCCCACACCGACTCAGACCTGCCCACACAATCACCCACGCTCTCCCTCATTGACCACACAGCCCCAGCTTGGAGGACAGAGCTCTTTTTTTCCGTATGAGATTCAATTTCTCACTTGTCCTCCCCTCTCCTCACCCCCCCCAAAAAATCTCCTCTGGCCCCATCTTTTCTTGGATCCTGTCCAGACAGCGCTGCGTCTTTAAGGAAGTTGGAGCTGCTAAAAGTGAGTGAGAGGGAGAGAAAAAACACAACCCAAAAAAATTTGGCTTCTTTTCCCCTCAAGTTTCTGGTGTCGCTTATGAAACACAGGTCCTTGCTGCTGCAGAGAAGTAGTTGTTTGGCTGGAAGGAGGGAGCGTGCGGGCCGCCCCAGGCTCCCTCCCCGCAGCCTCCACTCAGGGACAGTCCCAAGCACCCTGTGCCTGGCAGGGTGGGCTCAGGCGTGCACGCTGAAGGTGGGGCGTGGGCTAGGCTGCCCCCTCCTGCATCCTTGTTCTCCCCTGGGCAGCCCTTGGCCCTGCAGACTCTCCTGAGTTCCCTCGGTGCTTTGTTTTTTCTGGTTCCCTCTAGAAGAGGCTCTTCTTGACGGGGGAGGACTAGTTTGAAGGTAAGCTGAGGGGAGGAGGGCTCCAAAGGCCAGCGGGAGGAGGGAGAGGCCTGCTGGGTACAGGGGTGCCCCCTACCCACGCTTCCCTGTTGGGTTGAGATGCTTGGGACAATGCTTTGCTTGCAGCCATCCAGGGGGCCTCGACTCCTCCAACGGCTGCAACCAAAAAACCAAACCCATTGCCACTGAGTCGATTCCGACTCATAGTGACGCTATAGGACAGGGTAGAACTGCCCCATTGGGTTTCCAAGGCTGTAAATCTTTACTGAAGCAGACTGCCACATCTTTCTCCCACGGAACGGCTGGTGGATTCGAACTGCCGATCTTTCAGTTAGCAGCCGAGTGCATTAACCACTGTGCCACCAGGAAACTGCAGGACCCTGGAAATCCCAGTAGTGTTGGGGCTGAGCCGCTGGCCTCACCCTAGCCGGCTGAGAGGGCCTCGTAGGGGTTTATTTAGGCAGCTGCCCGGCGTCTTTGAATGGAACAGGCCGTGGGTATGATTCTCTAGAAGGGGTCTGTGTGTGCTGTGGTCGAGGCCGGAGGAGCAGGAGGGGGGGGGCGGGGTGGAGCGGGGTGGTGTGCACTGCACAAGGGGCCTTGTCTGGGCCAGGGCAGAGCATACCTATGGGGGGCTCTGGTGGGAGGGGCTGCGGCCAGGATGTGGGAGGGCAGGAGGGAGGTTCTTAGAAGTGCTGGGGGTAGGGGCGGCTGGAAAACAGATTTCAAGTCATAAAGTCAGCTGAGAATAGGCCAAGGCAGGGAGAGCGCTCTGCTCAGAGGAGGATCTGGGGTCCTCGTCCATCCTGCCTTCACCCTGCCTGGCTGCTGAATATTGGGCAAGTCCCGGCCCTTCTCTGGGCCTCAGTTTCCCCTTCTGTAAAACTGGGGGGTGGTAGTTTGGGCCTTAGCTGTGTTATGTGCAGGGCTTCCTAGTGGGGAAGGGCTCGAGGGTCCTGGGAGGGAGGAGCCCCCACCCCGGGCCCTCAGGGTCACCTCAGTGACATGCCCTTCTCTGCAGGAGGTACAATGTGGGAGCTGTGTCTGCTGTGCTGGGTGGCTCTCCTGGGCCTGGGGCAGGCCTGTCCCAAGCCCTGTGACTGCGGGGAGAAGTACGGCTTCCAGATCGCAGATTGCGCCTACCGCGACCTGGAGGCCGTGCCGCCTGGCTTCCCAGCCAATGTGACCACGTTGAGCTTGTCCGCCAACCGTCTTCCGGGCTTGCCAGGGGGTGCCTTTGAGGAGGTGCCCCTGCTGCAGTCACTGTGGCTGGCGCACAATGAGATTCGCACGGTGGCTGCTGGTGCCTTGGCCACCCTGGGCCATCTCAAGAGCCTGGACCTCAGTCACAATCTCATCTCTGACTTTGCCTGGAGCGATCTGCACAACCTCAGCGCCCTGCAGCTGCTCAAGATGGACAGCAACGAACTGGCCTTCATCCCCCGAGATGCCTTCCGCAGCCTTCGCTCCCTGCGCTCGCTGCAGCTCAACCACAACCGCTTGCACACGCTGGCTGAGGGCACCTTCGCGCCGCTCACTGCGCTGTCTCACCTGCAGATCAACGATAACCCCTTTGACTGCACCTGTGGCATCGTTTGGCTCAAGACGTGGGCTCTGGCCACCGCCGTGTCCATCCCAGAGCAGGACAACATCGCCTGCACCTCACCGCACGTGCTCAAGGGTACACCACTGAGCCGCCTGCCGCCGCTGCCATGCTCAGCGCCCTCGGTGCAGCTCACCTACCAGCCCAGCCAGGACGGGGCCGAGCTGCGGCCTGGCTTCGTGCTGGCGCTCCACTGTGATGTGGATGGGCAGCCGGCGCCCCAGCTGCACTGGCACATCCAGACGCCTGGGGGCACTGTGGAGATCGCCAGCCCCAACGTGGGCGCCGATGGGCGTGCCCCGCCTGGTGCACCAGCAGCCAGCGGCAGGCCGCGCTTCCAGGCCTTTGCCAATGGCAGCCTGCTCATCCCCGACTTTGGCAAGCTGGAGGAGGGCACCTACAGCTGCCTGGCCACCAACGAGCTGGGTAGTGCCGAGAGCTCGGTGAACGTGGCGTTAGCCACGCCGGGCGAGGGTGGCGAGGATGCGCTGGGCCGCCGGTTTCACGGCAAAGCGGCTGAGGGCAAGGGCTGCTACACCGTTGACAATGAGGTGCAGCCGTCGGGGCCTGAGGACAATGTCGTCATCATCTACCTCAGCCGGGCTGGGAGCCACGAGGCGGCAATCATGGCAGGGGGAGGCCCTGGGCAGCAGCCCCTAGGCCTGCTCCTGCTGGGCCAGAGCCTCCTTCTCCTCTTCCTTGCCTCCTTCTAGCCTCACCCCGGACCCGACCCAGGCTGGGCAGGAGCAGCCCCAGACCTCCCCAGCTCCTCCCCTGGCCCCGCCAGTGCCCCTTATAAGTGCCTCCGGGGCCTGGGGCTGGCAACTCCTGAGGCCTGCAAGGGTAACTTCCCCTCTTCCTACCTCCGCTTCTGATCTCTTCCAGAACACCCACCGCTCCCAACTTCTAGACCTGCTCAAAGCTAGTGAGTAGGACCAACCTATGGTACTAATTGCTGCTAACAACATCGCCCATGCTCCCGCGTCGGGGCAGCATGCTAACAGGGTGATGCCTGCACCCGACTGGATGAAGCCTCAGTGGGGGATCCCAGGCACTGCGACTGGCGAGCTGGGGGGCGAGACGGAGGTCGCTGCAGCAGACAGGGCACAAGACAGGGGGAATGGAGGGAGCACAGTGACCTGCTCCAGCTCCTGGGGCATCTCTGCCCTCAGCTCAGACTGGACCAGAGGACCAAGATGGCATTCTACGCCCTCAGCCTGCGCCCCTCCAGCCCGGACACCGGCCCCGCCTATCTCCAAGCACGTGTCTGTAGCCTGCCCCTCCGTAGAGGCCAGCCAGCCTGGGGCGACGGAGAAATAAACCATGTTTTTGATGCTCCCCATGTCTGCCTGGAGTTGTGTCTGGACCTAGGAGTCCTCCAGCAGGGACAGGATTGGGGGCCGGAGAGTCAGGCAGCCAGCCTGCCGCCCACACACAGGTACACCTGCTGCCTGAGAGACAGGCAGCAAGTGAGGGGGCCCCTTGGGGGGCCAGAGGCACACAGGACAAACGGGGGGCAGGAAGCCTGAAAACCATTCTGGAGGCTTCCCTGGGGTCTGGGGCTGCCCTGAGCGGGCTCTAGGCCAGCAGTAGCTGAAGGGGCATTTTGGAGAGGTTGGGGAGGAAGTGGAAGCACCTGGGTTGTGACCCTTCTTCCCTGTCCTGCTCCTGAAGGAGATGTTAGGAATGGGGGTGGTGGGCGGGGGGCAGGCAGGCAAGGGGAGGGGAGAGCTGGCAGAATGGAGGGGCCACGGAGCAGGGAGAGAGGAAGGCTGAGAAAGCCCCAGGGAAACTGAGAATAAGAGAACACGTTTGAGGGTGAGGTGGGGGTGAAGCTGACTTGGCCTCAACTTTATCAGAAAGAGGAAATGGTGTTTTCTGAGGAAAGTCCAAACTAGGCCTGCAGGCCCCCTAGGGATCATTTCACCACGGTGAAAGGGGATCTGTCCCTGACTTGGGGGCGGGGGCTGGGGCTGGCATCGACCTGTGGTCTCAGAAAGGAGGGCATGTGGATGGGCCCAGAAACCTGAAGACTGCCCGGCCTGCGTCTGTGCCATGGCAGAGCTGGGTCTTGCTGCTGCCTCCATCCTGCCCCTTCCAAGATTGGGGGTCCTTCAGATAGGGGCAGTGACCCAGTGGGAGAGGCTCACACGCCTCTACCCAGAGCCCCCAGGACTGCTGAGCTCAGCAGAGCGGAAGCAAGAAGGCCAAGGAGTCTAAGACAGCAGCTGTGAGCCTGGCGGCTGGCCAGGCCCTCCCCTTCAGCCTCCTGGGCCACATAGAGCCCCACCCCCAACCCCTAGCTTGCAGCCCCAGCTGAGCTGATGTCACCAACAGCATGTATCAAGATTGGCTCCGAATCTGGTGGAAAGTAACAGAATGGAGCTGAATTCCATTGCTGTGCCACCTTGGCTAAGTCACTGCCCTTCTCTGGGCTTCGGTTTCCTCAGAAAAGCAGGGTGGTGCTTAAGGGTCCAAAAGACTCTGATAGTCTAAGACCGGGTAATCCTAACCCCACGGGGACCCCTGATGTCTCCACCCCCATTCACAGCTGGAGCAGGCTTGGTTTCTTGGCGTCGGACCTGAGTTTCAGACCTGAGTCAGGGCTGGCATGGGGAGCAGCTGTGCCCTGAGTGACGTAGCTTTTCCTTTGCTTTAAAGTCTTCCATGGCCCCCGCTGCCCTGGGGTGAAGCCTGAGTCTCCCATGGGGCCATTCACAGCCCCTCTAATTGACTCCACCCCCACGGCCTACCCCTTCCTGCTGTCTGAGCTCTAGGCACTTGGAGCTGCTCATTGTTCCCTGAATGCTCAATGATGGTTCATGCCTCAGTGCCTTTGCTCACGCTGTTCCCTCAGCCTGGACACCCTTCCCTGTTCCTCACTTGGCTAGGTCAGTGTTGAAGACTCAGCTCAGTCATCACCTCCTCCAGAAAGCCTTCCTTGATGCTCCCCCAACCCCCTCTCAATTTGGACCAGATACCCCTCCTCTGGGCTCACACAGTCTTGGGCGTCCAGTGACCCAGCCTGATCACTACTGTGCTCTGTTCCTTGTGGGGGGCGGAGATGGAATCTGGGTCCTCGGACAGTTTTCATTGGCTGCAGTGGGATGGAAGCCTGCCCTCTGCCTGCTCTCACAGGCAGCCTCCAAGGTGGGTTTGAGCTCCCTGGCCTGTGTTTGAGGCTGCAAGGGAGTGGGAACATGGAGTGGTGGTGGTTTCTACTAATTGTGCAGACATTTTTCCAGGCCCCACTGACACCAGGTCTGTGGGTGGCCACATTTCCCTGCCCTCTGCAGCTCTGGGGGCTCCATCAAGGCCCCCAGCAGAGAACGGGGTCCCTGGTCTGTCTCCACCCTCCTCAGCTGCCTCCCGCTGCATGCCTGGCCCACTCCCGTTAGGATGGCCTCTCTCTGCTCCCGGCATGGCCTGCCCCACCTGCACACCTTCATCCGCACTGCTGCTCCATCGTCCTTCCGACATCTCTCCTCCTCCAGCCTGCCGGTTGTTTATAACCCGGAGGAAGTCCCACTTCTCAGGCCAACATCCACACCGTGCAGGGTTGGACACAGGATCCCAGCCTTTCCTCCACCCAGAGGGATGTGATATGGGTTCTACTCTGCCCCCGACCCAGCGCCCAACCCAGCACGTGGTCAGAGTACCCACAACCGCGCCCAAGCCCCATAAATGCATGGTGCACACTGATATTTCCCCTACATCCTCCCTCCCCCATAAGGAGGACTGTTCCTTAGGGACAAGTTTATTACAGGGAACATAGTAACCTCTTTCATAATATCTAAAGGTAGAAAAACTACAAAAAATATCTGGCTCGCAAGTGTGGACAGCTTGGTGTGGGGCCTGGGTAGAGGTGTGATTTGCTGGCCGGCAGGAGCCCACGGCTTCCTCCTGGGCCCACCTAGCAGGCCAGGAGACCCAGGAGCCTTCCAGCCATTTCCCAGAGATTGGAGGGAAGGTGGGGGAGAAGGAAGCCACATCCCGTCCCATGGTGGTGAGGTCGGGCTGAGGTGCAGCTGATCTGGAATTTGAGGCTGTCCAGGCCCCGAATCGCCAACTGTCTTCAGGAGGAGGCTTCGGTGAGGCTCTGCGAGGAGGAGCCAGGGTGGGGAGAGGCCTGGATGTGGCCAGGCCCTCCCCTCCCCATCCTCCCCACCACCACCAAGACCACCCTGGCCCCACTGGCTTCCAGACCTCAGGCTAAACCTCCAACTGCTTCTCCAGGGCCCCCGCAGACTCTCCTGCGGCCAAAGGGCAGATCAGAACCCTCCTGAGGCTCATAGTACAGACCTGCGCCCAACCACAGTGAGCCCTGAGAGGGCTGCTCTGGTCTGTGCCCTGTGGGGACCTGCTGGCAGAGCTGGAGCTAAGTGGAGGGGCTGCTGAGGCTCAAGAGCAGGGAGGGGGTTGGCAGGAAGGAAAGCGTCCCCCCCACAGACAAGGCCAGGGCGGCTTGGCCTCCCCTGCCCTCAGGGCTGGGCGCTGTTGGCCCAGGCACCCGATAGGGCCTGCTTCCGGAAGACCTGCAGGGCTGGGTTGTGGAGCAGGGTATAGGCCAGACCCCAGCGGGCCCTGCTGTGGCTGGCCTTGGGCCCTGCTCTCTTGGCTGCGGGGTCCTTGGTCTGCAGCAATTGCATCCCTGTAAGGGAGAGACCGTCTGTGAGTCATTCAACACACCCAGCCTCCCGGGGACCTGGGCCCAAGCAGAGCCTGGCAATCCTGTGTGTAGGGTGGGAGAAGGTGGTGGGGTGTGGGTTCCAGGTGCCGGCTTACAGAGTGGAGATTCACGGGAAGCGTGAGGCTGCAGAGGGGCATTTGTAAAGGACAGGGAACACTGACTGAAGGGTTAGGGTGTCATCCTGCAGGTGGTAGACCGAAGAAGGGGGCATGAGGTGTGCGGAGGAGCAAGGCGGTTAGTGTCTCCCACGCTTCTGGGGCAGCTGGGCAGGAGGGCCTTCTCTCTGAGAGGGAGGGGCTGGCCCAGGGAGGTGGTGAGGGTGGCCGAGTCCCTTAGCAAATCAGCCATTTAATTTCTGTGTGCAAATGTGTGTGTGTGCGCGTGTGTTCGTATCATGGAAAAAATTACCCTGAGACCAAACCAGGAGGGGCAACCACAGGCAGCCAAGGGAGAGAGGAAATGAGAATTTTCCTGGCACTTGCTCCCAGTGTGTGTGTTTGCGGGAAGGGGTGGCCGCTTTCCTGGGAGAAGGTGGGTGGGCTCCATTCCCCCCCCCCAGGTGGGAGGGTGCACCTTCTTCTTCTTCCCCGGGTCTGAGGCTGTCCTGGGGGCCTGCCGGGGGCCGGGGCTGGGGCGTCCACCCTCGTAGGAGCAGGGCGCAGAAGGCTGTCACGGCCGGGTGCGACTGGCTGACCTCAATCTTCAAGAAGTTGCGGTATGTGTAATAGCCTGGGTGGGTGGGGAGGGGCAGCGCTGAGGGAGCAGGGGCCCCCAGGTGGCCAGAAGCCCCCTGAGACACCCTTCCCGCACCACACACACAGGGAGTACACTGCACAAGCTGTGTACAACTACACAGACACACTGGGCAGGAGCAACGCAGGGCGCGTACACTGCACGTGGGCACGTTCGGACGTGCTCGGAGCACACCATACGTGTGCCTGCTGCACCCAGCGCGAAGTCACACAAGGCACAGCTGCACACGGCACACACTCTGTTGTTGTGCTTCGGTGCCTTAAAGTCCATTCCAACTCATAGTGACCCCATGTGACAGGGGAGAGCTGCCCCATAAGGTGTCCTAGGCTGTGATCTTTACAGGAGCAAATCGCTAGGTCTGTTAAGAGCTACGGCGCTAACCGAAAGGTTGGAAGTTCAAATCCACCAGTCGCTCCTTGGAAACCTTATGGGGCAGTTCTACTCTGTCCTATAGGGTCGCTATGAATCAGAATCAATTCGACTCTATGGCAACGGGTCTTTCTCGCGTGGAGCTGCTGGGTGAGTTCGAACCGCCAACATTTCAGTTAGCAGCCGAGCGCTTAAGTGTTGCGCCACCAGGGCTCCTTGCACGCACTCCATGGAGCGTAAAAATAAAAATTCATACCTTCCAGACTTGCTGGAGCCTAACGACTGAAAGATTGAAAGTGCCCCAAACTCTTAAGGAAATAACCTGCTCATAAATAACTAACAGACTTCGGGTTCGTTTGCCCCCTGTGACCCGCAAAGCGTGGGGATGCCTAAATTGACAGCTCCCCAGGTCATCCTTGCTGTGGGCCATAGAGATCTCACGAGCACCAACTGACCACAGTTATGACTACATGTCATTTGAACATCCTTTTCCCTATTTTGACAAATGTCAAACCTCAATGAAGTCTTTAACTTCCTTAATCCTGCTGTATAAACCGTGGACATTTTTCCTGTCAGCGGAGCTACTTTGCACTTTCAGTCTGGATACTGCCCTATCCATGGATCATTTGATCCTGCTTAGATACACTCATCACAAAATTTAAAATTTGCCTTCATCTCGGAAATATTCTCTGGCAGGAGAAATCTCTCACAGCACGCAGACCCCCACGCGGGCACACGCCTGTGGACTTACGCCACACCACTCCCACAGGTACCAGGTCACACACGCACTCCCCACTCTGCACACAAACACCCCGTGGACGTGCAGGTGACAGGCTGACGCATAGAATGCCTGAGACACAGGGCAGCCGGCACAAAGACAAGTGGCGCGTGAGCACACACTCGTGCGCAGCCTCTGACACATACCGTGCCTGCGCGCAGTCACTGCAGGCGGCGTGTGCTGCACACGCAGTGTCCCCCTAGAGCTGGTGCACACACAGAGAATACCTGTGCACCATTTCACGTGAAATCGTGAGAGACTCCCGGGAAAATGCACACACAGACGCAGGACACACGGCCTGCTCCAAGGACCCAGCACACGCTGAACACGCTCCTTCCCTCCCACAAAGTTAGAGCTACTAGCTTGCGTGGGATCCCGTCACAACTTTGGCCAAAGCACATTTCAACCAATCACTTCGTGTTTTCTTCCTCCAAACAGCCTCAGGAGAGATGCTGAGCCATTAATACGTACATTTTTACAATTGAGGAGACTGGGTCTCAGAGAAGGGGTGTGTATGGGCTAGGAGGGGCTGTGGGTGAAATTCAGGTCTGTCTGCCCCATGTAAGTTCCACTCTCCACGCTGAGTGCCACCCCAGCCCCAGCCCCACATGCACAGCCTTTCAGCTTATCTATTTTGGTCTAGTTCTGGCATAACGTGCTTTGCTGTTTGGTGTCTATGTGTTTTACTGAAGTGGAAGTATGTCACCTGTCTCGTTCCATTTTCTCTTTTCCACTGGGCACTACATTTCTAAGATCCATCGTGTTGCTATGCATTAGTCTGCTCTGCGGATTCTAACTGCACGCAGCACTCCACAGTATGCACACCCACATTCTCCCTCCCCTCCCTCCCAGGGACGCACCCCCAGAGCTGGGTCAGGACAGCCCCTCCCCTACCGCTTGGACCGCCTGCCGAAACCCCCAGCTCCTGCCCCTGCCCAGTGACCTTACCGGGGTCAAAAGTGGCAGCTCTGGGCGGCAGCAGGCTGAGGTCCATCTGGCTGAGGTGGATGGCATTGTGGAGGGCAGAGAGGAGCACTCGCCAGGCGGCCACCATGGTGCCCACCAGCACGTTGATGGGGAAGAGAAGAAAGACAACTGCAGAGAGAGCCCGCCTGGCAGGGCCGGGTGACCCAGTAAGCGAGATAGGCATGGGCTTACTTGTGCTTACTTACAACCATACCAAGGATGTGGTGAAGCCCATGTGAAATTGTGCACTACAGATGAGTAAGCAAGCACAAGTAAGCCCGTGCCTACCTTGCTTACTGCAAGCCTGTGTGTACCTTGCTTACTGGTTAATCTGCCCCTGTTGCCTGGGGTAGGGAGAGCAGAAAGGCTGAACTGCCCCACCCCAGAGTCAGTGTCAGATCACACGACATGCCCACAGCACGACTGTGCACCCCACGCTGTGCTGGGCCTTCTCTCTCTCAACCCAGCTTGCCCTCCCCACCCCCTGCCAGACAGGTCACGTCACCCCCTTCTACAGAAGGGGAAACTGAAGCTCAGAGAGAGGGAATGACTTAGCTAAGGCTGTCTAGCTAATCAGTGGCAGGGCTGGGATGTAAGTGAAGGTACACCTGGATCTTTCTGGGACCCCAGTCTCTCCCACCAGCCTCCATTGGGTTCCTTGTCCTCTAAGTCTCTCCGGGGGCCAGAATTCTCTCTCCCACAGCCTCCATCTGACATGCAAACAGAGTGCCTGCCCAGTGAGGAGGCACATGGTTTTGAGGGGACAGAGGATCCAGGGGAGAGCTGTGTTGATCCCCAAAGCGGGAAAAGCTCATGGAGCTATGTCTGGCCTTATTACAGGTACACTGAAGTGCCCTTTTTCTCTGTGAGGAAGGCAGACTCTCTCTATTACCTGCTAGGCTCCCTAATAGAGAAAGGGAGGGGGTGGCAATGGAAGGAGAAGGGCACAAAGAGACAGAGAGACATGGAAGGAGAAGAAACTGAGGGCCTGAGGGAGCCACAAGCCCAGGAGCCACCTCACCGGTTGGTCACCTCTGGGCGTCCGTGGTGAGTCTCCAGGAAGGCCCAGTGGGCCGCCATGTTCTGGAGAGTCACAGCCAGGGCCAAGGTCAGCCAGAAGGGCCTGAGAGTGGAGTTGGGGAGAGTAGTCATTGTTAGCCGGCCTCTGGGAAGGGGTCCTGGGGCCCTCTACCGCTTGCCCCACTCACCATGAGGACTCCAGGGCTCGGAGGAGCAAGAGGTTCCTGCCATGAAACACAGGCATGAACACCAGGAAGGCAAGGGCTGTGGTTCCCAAGAAGAAGATGATTTGCTGCACCAGGAGCCCTGCCCGGGGCAGGAGGTAACAGGGGGACAGGCATCAGGCTCTGTGAGGCCTGGCCATCCCTGCCACCCAGGGACCCAAGGGCTTTGGAATCAGGCAGACGTGGTTTCAGATCCCTACACTACCACTCCCTAGCTGTGCTGCCTTGAGTAAGTTACTTTACCTCCCTGAGCCTCAGATTCTTCTTCTGTAAGACGGGGATAGTGGTGCCTACCTCAGAGGACCGCTGTGAGGATCCGATGAGATAATGTCTGTGACAACTCTTTGAAAGCCACAAAGTGCTTTGCAAACATTATTTTCTCTCAGTTGTTCCTGGCCCTTGGGGATAAGACTGCATTTTCAACGAACGTTTGCACTCCTGCAGGCCAAAGCCTGGCACACGGTAGGTGCGGGAGAAATGTCTATTGAAACAACTGCCTAATTGCTTACATGGGATGATGTGTACAAAGGAATCTGGGGATGCTGTAGTTGTTGTGTGCCATGGAGTGGATTCTGACTCATAACAACCCTATCGGACAGAGCAGAGCTGCCCCATACGGTTTCCTAGGCTGTAATCTTTACAGAAGCAGACTGCCACATCTTTCTCCTGCAGAGCATCTGGTGAGTTCGAACTGCCGCACTTTTAGTTAGCAGCCAAGTACTTAACCACTGCGCCACGAGGGTTCCTTTTGGGTGTAAAGTCTACCAAAGGAATTATGATTTTTAGACACAATTTAGTCCTTTAGTCCTTTTGGTCCTTCACTCCTTTATCATCCTTCTCCTCCTTCCTTAGTGAGGTGAGAAATGAAGGAAGCAGCAGGGAAAGAAAGGGGGCCTGTGACCCTGACCTCAGCCCCTCATGTCTCAGGGTGCTTTGCTCACTGCAGTGGCCCCTCATGTCTCAGGGTGCTTTGCTCACTGCAGCGGCCCCTCATGTCTCAGGGTGCTTTGCTCACTGCAATGCCCAAGAGGAGAATCAGAAACTCAGGGCTGGAAGAGGGCTCTTTGAAGTTAATCTGGTCCAACTCCTCAGGGCAGAAAGCCCTTTGCTGTTCCAACAATTGTCACTGAATCCTGCTTGCATACTCCCAGTGTTGGGGATCTCATTACTTCCTGAGGCGGCCCATCATTGCGCATTTGTCCCTTACACAGGCTGGAATGTGCCTCCTTGCACTTGAAACTTCCAGCCAGGGGTCCCCTCTTCATGTAAATGTCTAGTGGCACCCAGGGTCCATACCCTATGTGAAGAGTGTCCATTATCTGAGGGTACCTGCACCCCCACGCCTGAGGGCAGGAAAGACAGGGCAGGTCCCTCTGCTCTGTGCAGAGCCTTCTCCAGCACAGGTAGGCACCCAGGGGGTAGCCCAGACCTGCTGAGCTCTCTTCCCTTCCCCCACTGGGGCCAGTGTCTGGGCCGGGGCCGGGCCAAGGCAGGGTAGAGTGGGCAAGGGGGGCTCACCGAGGCAAGTGAAGGCAGTCTGGTAGGCGCTGAAGCTCATCCAACAGAATATGGCCTGGCGAGAGGGGTGGGGGGTCCGGGCTCGGGAGACCAGGTCTGGGGTAGCCCCTCGGTACAGAGCTTGAAGGTTGGCCCTGGAGTGAGACAAGGGAGGCAGGGACCTCGGGGAGCAACGTACACTCCCAAAATTCCTCCTCTGGGCTGGCTTCCGGCCAAACTCCCAGTCTAATTACAACCCACTGCCATCAGCCGGGAAGCCCAGGGGGTGGGAGCCAGGGGAGGCCACTAATCCAACCTGGGCCATCTGGGAGGGCTTCCTGGAGGAGGTGACTCTGGGCAGTGTCTTAAAGGGTGAGTAAGAGTAAGCTGCAATGTGTGTGTGTATATCAAGGGATCCTTGGGAGCCAAGTCAGAAAAGTGGGAAACAACAGTGGGAATGGAAAGTGACACACAGCTCAGCCACCGGGGCAGGACATGAGGTTGCAGGCAGGCAGAGGCTTTGAGGGGGACTTGAATGCCAAGCTGAGATCCCTGGGCAGGAACTCTGAAGCATGTCAAATGCACAGGGGATGTGGACCTGTTCCCCTACGTGAGCAAGTGCTTGGACCTCCCCTTCCCACCCACCTGCTCCCGGCTAGGATCTCCTTTCCCCGTCTGCTTGGAATCCCCCGTGCTCCTTTTTGCTCACCATCAATGGGCACACGAGGCAGTGTGGCATCCAGTGCCAGGAGCAGTCTCTCCACCGCCCCTGCACCAGCCAGGCCACCTCCTCACCCACTTTCCCATGTGTCAGGTTTAGCCCAGCGCCCACGCTTGCCCACTTTGCACCTCCTGCCTTTAGCTCCCTTCCCCCTCATCTCCTGCTTCTCCCTCCGCTCCCAGCTAGAATGCTGGCTTCCCCAGGCTGCCTTCCTCATGGAATCCAGCCCACCAGGGGTTCCCTTCTCAGGGCACAAACTACACTTGACAGCCCCGAGTCATCATGCCCTGTGCCACTCACAGACATTTCTCCAACTATGCAGGACCACCCCCTAGGGCAGCCCCAGACCCACCTTCTCCATCCCCACAATCCAGCCAAGCTCAGGTGGGCTCAGGGACAACCTGGGCCTGCAGACGCCCTCCCTCTAGCCCCAGGACCTTCCCTACAGGTCCTCCCAGGTCGGGGGTCCATAGGACTCTGACTTCTTCCTCCCACCCCCCACCTCTACACCAGGTGGGTCAGAGCCTGCCACTAACCTGTGCATCACCAGTGACCGAATCTGGACGAGGAAGGTGAGTGTGCAAGACAGGACCAGGGCTGAGATGTAGCAAACTGAAGGGGTGGAGAGGGAGCAAAGTGTACGGCCAGGGCCTGGAGGGTCTCCAGGGGTCTCCAACTGCCACCAGGGTCATGCCTGGGTGGAATTACCCTGGCCCTACACCCCACTCGGAGCGGAGACCTCCTGGAGTGCTCAGACCTCAGCTGCCCCTGTCCTTTCCTGTAACATACGGTGATCACAATGGCGAGAGGACAGCTCTGAGGCTGCAGACCTGGCCCTCATCCTGGTTTTGCTGCTTGCATTGCTGTGTGAGACTCTATCCCACAAAGGATACCAGTCCACGTCGGTGGCCTGAGTCCATCAGAATGAGGGAGGCGGCCCTGCTACCCATCTCCTCCGGGACGGAGGCACTCCTCCCCAACACCTCACCTCCTGGCCATGCCCACAGACTATGAGTTTGCTGTGTTCCCAGAAGCCGAGAAAGAATGGGTATTTCAGCACAGCAGGGGTGTGGGGCTGCAACCCTCCCACCCTACATCCACTCTAGCCTCGCTCTGGACCCGCACAACAACTCCTTAAGTTCAGGGCACAGGAACTGTTCCCACTGGGCATATGTGGAAGTTGAGGCTCAGAGAGAGGGCCTGACCCAGCAGCCACACTGCTAGGAAGTGATGAAGTTAAACGTGCAACCATTTCCATGGAGATCTCGCGTGAGCCCAGGGCGCCTGCTCCCTGACCTCATCAGTCAGCCCAGGGAAGTGTTCCTTGTTCCTGGGTCTCCATCAGAAACTTGGGATGAGGGAGATCAAACACCTGTGGACAATACCAGTGCTATTTCCATATAGCTACAGGCGCTAGGGAAACCCTGATGGCGCAGTGGTTAAGAGCTACAGCTGCTAACCAGAAGGTCGACAGTTCAAATCCACCAGCCACTCCTTTGAAACCCTATGGGGCAGTTCTACCCTGTCCTATAGGGTCACTACAAGTTGGTATCAACTCAAGAGCAATGGGTCAACGGTTCTGACAGGCGCTAGAGTGGTGGACCTTGGCATGGGCGGTGCTTTAGGATCACCTGGGGAGAGGGGCTTTGAAAGCTCCCCATTGCCCAGGCTCCACCCTAGTCCAATGAAATCAGAATCTCGGGGGGTGGGACCCAGGCTTCAGGTTTTGTGAACACTCCCCAGTGATTCCGTTGTGCAGCCAGGGTTGAGAACCTGCACCGGGGGCTTTCCTGAAGGCAGAGCATGAATCATTTATTTCAATCAACAATTGATGAAAATCAATCAACCAAGCAACAATGAGTGTCTAGCCAGTGATTCCCCAACTGTGACTCTCATCAGACACATCTGGAAGGTTTGTTCAGACACAGATGCTTAGCCCCACCTTCAGAGTTTCGAATTCAGTAGGTCTGGGCTGGGGCTTGATCACCAAGGTTTTTGAAAAGCTCAGGTGCAGCCAGCGTTGAGAACCACGACTGCAGAAACCTGGGGCCTTTCTGTGGCCCCTGGCTCACTCCCTAACGGCAGGAGGGGGCACTTTTCTGAAAAGTGAGGTTAGGAGAAGGAACTGGGCATGCATTTAGGCTTGAAAACTGCAACACGTGACTGTAAATGTAAGGCATGACGAATAGAAGCAGTTTATTTGCCCTAGACCTGTCACTTCCTGCCTCTGAGCCTTGATTTCCTGCTCTGTGAGAAGGGCTCAATGATTCATGACTTAGCAGGGCTGCTGTGAGCAAGGGTCTGGGCTTGGATGCGGACTGAAATGGGCTGTGTTTGCTCCTGCCTGTGGCCCAGGTGGCAGCCAGCTTGAAACATCTCCAGAGATATCATTTTCTGCCCACCTTGTCACCTGCACAGCTTGTGGGCCGGGGCAGCATTCCTAGGGCAGCCTCTGGTATGGGAGCTAAGGAGCTCAGGAAGGTGGTAGGGGCTGTGGTCATAGAAGGAAGCAGTCACTGCACACACCTTGCCCCTCCCACTCCTTGCCCCTTTTCATTCCCAGCATGGCTAGCTCTGTGGGTAAAGGATGATGTTAACCGTCAGGAATAGCTACAGATCAGTCACTTCCACCTGCAATACTAGCGGCCTAAGCTCCGACCATCACATATCACTCCTCAGAAGCCAGGATGCCGCTGCTTCTGCCCCTGATGTCCACTTCAACCCACACAAGCCTGGAACCCCCAAGTCACCAAGCTTTGTCTCAGGGTGGTGGAGAGAGCTCTGGACTAGGCATTAGGAGACTTGAGTTCTTCTCTTGGCCCTACTTCTGACCTGCTGCGCAACCTCAGCCAAGACCTTCTCCATGTGTCAAGTGGAGTCAAGTCTCAGTCTCCTCCACAGGGTTGTTGGGAGGGTCTGGTAGGTGGGTGTTCCCTAGCAGGGCTGCAGAAGGCATCAGATCATGGAAGGGAAGGCTGGTATTATTCCCTGGATCAGGGGCTCAGTGTCAGGGGAAGGAAGGAGAGAGGAGATGGCCAGAGAGGACAGGGATTGGAGAAGAGGAAGCATCCACCCTCACCAACCCCACCCACCTGCCTCGAGGATCCTCCTTTCCCACCCTCAGCAAAGGCTCCAAGGCCTGTCCCCTCAGCTCTCTTGTACCATTGCCTTCCCCATCTCCACATCAAGGGAGTCAGCCAAGCACATTGGGTGTGGGGGTAGGAGAAGCCACAAAAGCTGACAAGGGGCAGGGGGCTGGCTGGGACTATATCTTCATGTCTCAGAAACTATGAACTTGAAGCTCCAACCACCCCAATTTGAAGATGTGGCAATCAAGGCCCTGAGAAGGGAAGGAGTGTGCCCAAGGGCACGCAGTATATTGGTGGCAGGCTGGGACTGAGCTTGGGGATTCTGGTTCACAGCCCCCACTGCAGCAGGCCCTCCAAGACTCCTGTGAGGCCTCACCTTCCAGTGCCCACAGGTGGTGCTTCACGAGCTCCACCACCTCCTGCCTGTCCTCTGAGAGCAGGATCCCAAAGCCGGCCAGCAGGTAGGAGACATCCGTGGTGATACCTGCCCTCACCTTCTGGATGGTGGGGACCACGCCCACCAGCAGCAGCAGGGCCACCTAGAAGAGCCCCAGAATGAGGACCCCAGGGCCTACCTGTGCTGGCACCTGGCGCTGCCATCCCAGGAGGTATCTGCTGAGCTGAGAGCAGCGTGCTGCCTGCAGCCAGCTGCCCACCTCCGAGCTGGTGCTCCGAGCCTCAGGCCTCTCGGCAGCGGGTAACAAACAAACAGGCACAACTTCAGCGTCACGAGCCAAAGCTGCACTTTTCAGTAGCACAGTTGTGGGTGTGTTTGTAAAATTAAATACGAAAATATAAAATGGAATATATAATATTAAATTTTCAATTTTTCCAGGGTTCAGAAAGCTGTGTCCTGTGTATGAGCATGGGCATTGAAGCTAGACAGATCTGGACTCAAATTTTGGCTACCCTAGATATTAGCCCTAGGAACTTGGCCAACACAAAGTCACCTCTCTGAGCCTCAATCTTCCCATATGTAAAATGGTGAAAAATTCTACCTATCCCCCAGGGTTTTTTGGGGTGTGTCAGGGGAGTTATTTACCAAACACATACTATCTCACTAAATATTCTGAACTACCCAGGGAGGAAGGTATTTCTGTTCCCCCATTTTACAGATAAGCTATAACTTCAGAGAGGTTGAGTAACTTGCCAAAGGGCACACAGGAGGTAAGTAATGGAGCTGGGATTTAAATCCATGTTTGTATGATCCCAAAACTCATGCCCTGACTCACTATACGGTCCCAACAAGAGTTAACATCCCTCTTTCTGGGAAGGTCAACATTCCCAAGATGGCCAGAGCAGCTACAGGATTGTGGGTGGGGCTTCTACAGCACTGAGCTGGGCTTGAGCCATCCCCAGCTGTGGGTCAGAGGCAAGGGTCCAGAGGCAGATGGCACTACAGGATGCAGGACATACCTGGTAAATGGCTGTCCCTGTCAGAGTGGTCGAAAGCACCAGCTTCAGGGGGAGTTGGAATCCTGCAATCCTCAAAAGAACAGGCAAGGTGAGCCCCAGCACCACCCAGGCCTGGGAGCCCCCTTTCCTCCCAAGGGGCCCAGGAAAAGAATAGGGTTCACAGGACACTCGACCACCAAGGCCAGGCCAAGCTAGGGGTTGTCCTTTCTGATGACAAGGTGCTGGGAGGTGGAAGGTGAGAGCTGCCCTCCACTGCAGCTGTTCTGCCCCAGGGAGGGCCGGGGCCACCTGCCACCACCGGCCTCAGCTTCCCATCCCATACCTTGCTGTGGGGTGTAGATATGGTGTCTGAAGCAGATCCAGGCCCGGCACAGGAAGCCATGCTTGGAGGTATGGGAGCTGCAGAGAGACCCAGGCAGGTGGGGGTCCTCAGGAGAAGTCCCTGCCCCAAGGCCGAGGCCCAGAACCTGGCTCATTCCCCTTCTCCGCCCCTGCCACACTGCCCAGTGCCAGCCCCCAAAACAACCCACCCGAGGGTGTGCCTGGGGCCTCACCTGCTTTCCAGCTTCTTCCGACGAAGGAGATACCTCAGATACTCCTCAGAGTAGCTGCTCTGCAGCACCTGCGGAGACAGACAAACGGACGAGCAGATGTGGCCTGCCTGGAGCCATCCCTGGGGCCCTGGCTCAGGGCGCTAGTGGGCATGCAGTTGGTGCTCCGTAAAAACCACTTGGCTGTGGATGTAACAGAGTGCTGGGAGGGGCTGAGCTATATGGATGAGACCCAGGCTCCCCAAAGCTGCCCTTCTCATCTTCACAAATGCAAAACCAGTCACTGTCCTACTGATGGACCCTCAATGCTGGGAAGTTCTTCCTAGGGTCTGTCTCCAACTCTCTCCTGCTTTACTCAGTCATATCCTGTTATTGCTTCCCTCCCAGCCCTCTAGCCTGGTACATTCCTGAGCAGGACACAGGAGAGGGGCCATTCCAGGTCAGAAACCCCAGGGCTCTCCTGCTAGTACTCAAGGGAGATCACAAGGGTGACCGGATTTGTCTAAGCCACATTCCAGGCTTTAAGCTGCCTGCAAAGTGGCTGAGGCCCATGGGAAGATGGGGCGAGCCCCTGCTCCAGATCGCTAGGGGAACACAGAGAGGTTTGTCACCCGTTGCCATGGCAACCCTGGCATCCAGGGCGAGTGTGGGTCAGCTCAAAGCTTGACTGGGTCCTTTGAGGCCTAAACCTCTTTGTCCAAGGGCCAAAGAGGGTTTTATTCCTCTCATGAGTCGGGAGAAAGGCATGCAGTGGAGGAAGACGTGAGGCAGAGAACATCCCTGGGAGGAAGAAGAGGAGGTAGAGACGTGCCTGGCACACTATGTATCCCGAGGAGAGCCGCTCTCCTCTTCGGAGCCAGCTGAAACATGAAGGGACAGTGGGATTTCCCCAAAGGAGTGGGAGCATCAGGAGGACAGTGAGGAACAAGTACTTAGACCCCTACTCACCCACCACGTGAGAGTCAAGCCATGAGTCAGCCGGGTCTTCTTGGAGCAGAGGGCCCAGAAGGGACCCAGGGCTGCCCCATGAGCACCTGAGCCCACCCCAGCCTCTTCTGTCTTCCCTCACCATAGCCTGGGTGATCTTGCTCGTTCTCTAGCTTTCGTCTGATGACACTCAAATTAAGACCCAGTCCCAGCCCCTCTCCTGAGCTTTAGACCTGCGGTCCAGCCACCCACTGGACACCTCCACTGGAGCATCATCTGACCCCTCACACTTGGCACATCCACAACTGAGCGCTGTCCCCCGCACATCTGCTCTCTGTCCTAGATGCCACCCTACGGGCCTTTCCTCACCTTCCCCATCTGAAAAGTAACAAATCCTTTTGCATCTGCGTCTTCAACTTGTCTTGAGTCTGGCCCTCTCACCCTCTGAGGGCCTCCGTGGAGTTTTTCTTTTCCTCCTCCCTCACCAGGAAGAGTTACGTGGCCCAGCCTCCACCAGTGTTCCCACGGCATTTGGATGATCCCTTATTGTACTCTTGCATTGCACTGTAAATATCTGGTGCTGCACCTGTCTCCCCCACCACAATGGGAGCTCCTGGAGGTCAGCTCTGAGTCTGTAGCACCTGTGCCTGACACATAGTAGGTGCTCAGAAGCCTTCTTAATAAGATTGAAATATCTTGTAAGAACTCTGTCTCACCATGGTACATTGATCCATCTACCCATCCACCTATCCACCCATCCGTCCATCCATCCATCCATCCATCCATCCACCCATCCATCTACCATCTATCCAAAAATTTGAAAAATATTTGCTGAGTATCTATTATGAGCTAATACCTGCCAGGTCTTAAAACAGATACAAACTCATCTCTGCCCGTTTACTAACACTCTTTCCTATGCCTGCAATGCCTTGCGCTTATTCTCTTCCCACTCCAGATTCTCCCTGTTCTTTGGGGTCCTGCTAAAGTCTGCCTCGTCCAGCCTGCCTCCCTTCCCCCAGAACCCCCTTTTATCTGACATTATTCAACTGTATCCAACCTATTGTTGGCTCATAATATTCTTCTGCACTGGGTAGTTCCTGAAGCATTTCAGTATCTGCAGATTCAGCTCCTATTAGGCACAAGGCCCCCGTCCTGTCGCATTTCCCCAACTGGATTCTCAGTTTTTCAGGGATGGAGCTACAACTTTCCTGTCTTCTGACCCAATTCTCCTTTGTTGAGTTACTACTGTTCACACAGCCCAGTTCCCGGGTATCTTGGATGCCAGCCAGGGGACTTGCCTAGACTTTGCCTGGGGTAGGGGGAGGAGCAACCAGTCACTCAGTGATTCAGCAAACAGTTTCTGAGCACCTACTATGTGCTAGACCCTACACCAAGCGAATGTAAGACCAAGAGACACGGGGGAGTAGACAGCATCTTTGGGTGCTGACAAAGGGCCCATCCCAGGCCTGCCCCTTTACCTCAAAGCCTGCTCCTGCCTTGTGGCTGAAGCTTCTCACCAGCTGCGCCGGGTACCAGAGGCTCAGGAATCCTAGGCCCAGAAGCAGAGGCAAGCAGGCCAGCAGGGAGTAGTACTTGTAGATCTAAATAAACAGACAGACACTCAGACAGACCTATCTTCTGCCTTCCTCCCCTAATCAAGGGGATCCATTTCCCTTCCCACCTAGTACTGGGCTCTGTGAAGGGCCTGAGGATGGTCTGGGGGCCGCGGGAAGGCTTCTGGTTCTGTCGCCCGCCACCCTGGGCCACACAGCACAATGCATCCACTTCCCCATCTCAGGCCCTGCAGGTGTACTCACCCCACCCCCAGGCTCTTGGACCCCACTGCCCACTGCCCTTAGAGGAGCCAAAAGGGAGGAGGTTATGCAATCCCCTCCACCCTACCCCCAGACACTGGATGGGGCCTGAAACAGGGGGCACCTGCTTTCTATGTTCCTATGTCCCCGGAGCTTTTGGACACAGGCCTCTTGAAATTAGACAAAGGCCTAATGTCTTCGTGCTGTCTTCAACCTGTGCATCAGGGAATTGGGTGTCCTACTTCCTGGGGCTGAGGCCTTGCTGGGGCTGGGCCGCTTATGTATTCATTCATTCACTTGTTAATTCAATATGTTTTTCTCTAGAGCGTATTATATGTCTGGGTCTAGGTGGTGGAAACCAAGTCCTCGCTCTCAAAGGAACCGCCTAATCCTGCCCTCCACCTTGGAGAAACTGGTGTTATCAACTTCATTTATTAGTGGGGAAACTGAGTCTCAGAAGGTGACATGGTGTTCTCAAAGCACTTACCACCACCTGACATCATTTGGTATAGTTGCTTATTTATTTATTTATTGTGGCTCTTTTTCTGGAATGACAGCTTTGGGAGGCCCGGGACTTGCCCATAGCTGTATCCCCAGAACCTAGAAATGTGTCTGATACAGAGTATGTGCTTCAAAAATGCTTGTTGAATAAATGAATGGGTAAAAGAATGAATGAAGTGGTGAAACTGGATTCAAACTCAGGTTGTCTGGCTCTGATGCCGGCACTACACCCTTTAGGCTCTAGCCTGGGCAGGTTCACCCCTCCAGCCAGACAGACCTAGTGCACTGGGTTCTGATAGCCACGTTCTGAAGTTCTGGAATCTCCTTTTAGCCCTCTGAGACCACCCTCTCTCTTCACTTCCACTCACTCTAGTCCGGCCAAAGCAGGCTGGGGAATCAGTAAGGGGAAGTGGGGGGGATTCCAGGCTTCCTCTTGCTCCTTCTCTGCCCACTTATCTCCTCCCTCCTCCCTCCTAGACTGGAAGCTTCTGAGGGCAGGGCCCAGCTCTCTTGTCCTTGACCTCTCCTGTAATAAGCCAAGCTTAGGAATAGGCATGTTTTTAAAGGCGTAAATCCTGTGCCTAATGGAATGTGGTAGAGAAGCCCATCGTATAAACAGAGATAAAAGGAGCCACTGGGTTTAAGCAGGCTTGTTTGCATGTCCCTCCACCCCAAGCCATTATGAGCCAGTGGTTACCTTGGGCGTCTGGGGACACTCCACCCTTTGCCAGACCTGGACCCCAAAGTGGGCCCAGGACAGTGTGCTTCCAAGGAGGTACGCAGCTCCATGCCTGGCTGTGGCACAGGCGGCTAGAGGGTAGTAGAGGGCAGGGTAATAGAGCAAACCCAGCATCTTCCAGGGCCCTGGAAGGCAAGATGGACAGGAATACAAGAAGGTGAGGGACAGACATGGGGCCTGGGTCCAGCCTACTCAGGCCACTCTCCTGTCTCCTTATTCCAAGAGCCCTGGGTTCAAATCCAGACTCAGATAATATAAGCTCTGTGATCTTGGGCAAATTACCTCTTGGAAAATGAGAATAATAATAGTATATTACCAGCTGCCGTGGAGTCAATTCTGACTCAGGGTGACCCATGTGCGTCAGAGTAGAACTGTGCTCCGTAGGGTTTTCAGTGGCTGACTTTTCAGAAGTAGATTGCCAGGACTTTCTTCCCAGGTGCCTCTGGATTAACTCGAACCTCTAACCTTTTGGTTAGCAGCCAAGTGTACTAACCATTTGCACCACCCAGGGAAAATAGTATATTGTCGTTGTTGTTAGGTGCCATCAAGCGGATAGCGACCCCATATGACAGAGTAGAACTGCCCCATAGGGTTTTCTAGACTGTAATCTTCATGGGAGCAAATCACCAGGTCCTTCTCCCACGGAGCTGCTGGTAGGTTCTAACTGCCAACCTTTTGGTTAGCAGCCAAGCGGTTAACTACTGCGCCACCAGGGCTCCTTAATTAACCTGTTCCTCATCGAGTCAATTAAGACTCGTAGCAACCCTGTAGGACAGTGTAGAACAGCCCCATAGGGTTTCCCAGGCTGTAATCTTTATGGGAGCAGACTGCCATATCATTCTCCCTCAGAGTGGCTGGTAGGTTCAAACCACCAACCTTTCAGTTTGCAATCGAGTGTTTTACCACTGTGCCACCAGGGCTCCTTGGCTCCTTAATTAGTGAGAGCTAAATGAGAAGATGCATGTACAGTGCTTAGCGCAGTGCCTGAGTAAAAAGTTCAACAAATTAAGCCCCCACTTTAGTATTGTTCCCTTCTCTGACCCTCAGTTCCCTGCCCTGTAAAATGGGGCTTATATCCATAGTTTGGAGCCTGGGTACCACAGTGGTTAACTTGCTAACCAAAAAGTCAGCAGTTCGGATCCACCAGCCACTCCTTGGAAACCCAATGGGGCAGTTCTACTCTGTCCTGTAGTGTCTCTGTGAGTTGGAATTGACTTGATGGCAACAAGTTTGTTTTTTTTTTGGTTTTGGATCCATACTTAGCAGGGTCTTTATGAGGACTGGATGTTCTCATGGGGGTCGTTCCCCAGGGCAGTGGACCCACCTGATGGCAGCTGTCCTTTTCACCATCACCTCCCTTGAGTGAAGGTGTAATTCCTCAGGATCCCCTCCCTGTCACCCTCCCTATCATCCTTCATTCTCACACAGGGCCACGTACTCTGGTGGACTCAATCTGTGCCCATGAACGAGAGAGTTCCCTCCCTCTTGGGAGTGGGTTTTGCACAATAACAGAAAAAAATTAGAAATGGCAATATTGACCCAATAGCTGGGATCAATGATGGGGAGATTTCAGGCATCATGGTGGACAGTTCAGGAGGGGCCAGGGGCAGCGTCTTCTCAGTGGCATCTCATGACATGGGATGGGGGCTTCTTTGCTCGCCTACAGAGAAGGCCTGCCCCACTGGTCAGGATTCCCCCCCAGCAGCACTGGTACCTTGGCTGGGAGTCCAGACGAGGGCCAGGAAGGGCAGCGGGTCCTCATCAGGGAGCAGCAAGCACAGGGAGCTGAAGAGGATCATGAAGACAGCAGCCGGCACCATCCGGGGCTTGTCCTCAGCCAAGAAATCCACAGGGCTGAAGCAGAAGCAGGGGCAGGGCAGGAGGGAGATGCTCAGCCCCTGCACCCCAGTACCTCTAGGCCACGTTCCACGAACCGGGGGGGTAGAGTTAGCCCTATTTTCCAGATGGAGAAACTGAGGTCCTTTCATTCGTTCCATAAAGATTTGTAAAGTGTTCTGTATAACAGGCATGGGGCCCTGTGGCAAAGTGCCTGGGGAAGCCTTCACCCCAGCACACACACACATATACACACACACACATACACACAGAGTGGGAAAGCATGCCCGAGCACTGCTCCCTCCGCCCACCCTGGAAATGCCAGGAAATAGCTGTCCCCTCACTAATCTGTCTGTCTGGGCTGGCAGACCTTCAGAGAGCTCAGTGAGTTACAACATCCTTATGCAACAACCACCGCCCCTGGACTGGGTGTGGACCCGGAGGCAGACGGCAGACAGTGGGCACAGCTGTCCCAGGCATTGCTCCTCTGAGCTCAGGACAGGGGCCTCAGACCTTCTGCTCCTGCATCCCAGCTTGCCCTGCTTTGTTCTCCCCTCAAGCCCAACGTCCTACCCAGGCAGGGCAAGCTCTTTCCTGGGCCAACGGGTGAGGCAGAGACCCCAAGATGGTTCCCCACACACCAGATAGTAGGGCCCCTCTGGGTGCAAAGCCTGGGTCTGGGGTGCAAAGCTGTCTATGTGGGGCCCCATCTGCCACCTCCCTCAACTCTCTGGCCTCTGGCACACAAACCTTCCCAGTCCCATCTTCTCGGGGGCATCCCTATGCCAGGCTCTGGGGTTACAGAGCTGAAGGAAACAGGGGTAGAAATTCCAGCCATAGGGGCTGAAGGTCCCCATGAATCTGCCTTTAAGCCTCAGGGTCCAGGTAACACCCAGAGAGGAAACCAAGGTCAAAATGACACTGGTGTGGCCATGGCCTGTCCAGACACTGAGGACAATCTTGGAAGCTGTGTCCTGGAGCTAGGCCCTGCTGGGCTTACATTTCCTGGGGTCTAGGATGGAATCCCCTCTCCTCATGTTCTAGACAACAGGAGCAGGTGGACCTGAGCGGGCCCCTCCCCTTCCTTCTGGGGGTCTTGACTAAACCTGGAGATGGGGGTGGGGACGGGGAGAGCCCCCAGGCTGAGAGAGGTGGGGTGTCACTGAGACTAGAGCTGGCTTCCAGGTACCTAACAAATAACCCACCCTCCGAGAGTGGTCCCTGTCAGCTGGGCCCCCGAGTGGGGCCGCCCAGGCTAGGGTACCTACCTGGGCAGCCCGGGCCTGCCGTGCCCACAGTGGGGCCACAGCTGGCGGCGCCTCAGCAGCACAGCCAGCAGCAGCAGCGCAAGGAGCTGTAGGAAAGCACAGGAGAGGGCTTTGTGTGTCTGGGCCTTATCCCAATGGTCTGAGTCGGAGGGCTTGGCCTCAGTCCCCAGGGCACTCCCTCCCACCCAGTGCACACTCATGTGGCATCTTGCGGGCTGGCCAAGAGGTGACAGATGTCTGGGAGGTTGGCTTGGCCTGCATCCTGCACCCAACCTGGGAGGATTCCCAGATCCCCCCTCCCATATTCTGGGCTCCCAGGGCCTCCCAGCCCCGACCTCAGCAGGCTGGGGTGTCCTCTGTTCATTGCAGTAGGTTGCAGCGAGGTTGGACTCACCGACAGTGAGGCCAGGCCGGCATGGGAGAGACTGGTTGGTATGCTGGACTGGCACAAGGGCACAGGCCTACAGAGCAAGCAAAAGTGGGGTCAGGCCTGGGTCAGGGCCCCTGGGTGTGCAGCTCAGGTCTGGGATGCTAGGCTGTCTACACTGGGGCTTCACCAACCACCCGCCTCAGCCCTCTGGCCTGTCCCACACAAGCCTGCCTAGTTCTGCCCCCTCAGGGTCATCCTGGGGCCTTCATGCGCCTATGGCGTGCCCGGCTCTAGGGCTAGATGAGGAGACATGGGAGGGAGATATGCCTGGATGGGCCTGTCCAGAATGGGCCAGCATAGCCCAGATCCCTCATCCTGCTTACCCAGGTACTACCTGCCCTTCAAGGTCCGCTTCCCCGCTTTTCTACTCCAGGACTCACAGCCCTCTCCTCAGAACTGTGTCTGGGCTAAGCAGTCAAGAGTTGTGTCCTATGATCTCGCCCTCCACTCACTGCTGGTATCTGAGACTGGTCATGCTGCTGACTGGAATGACCTTCCCTGGCCCCCCAGGTCTTATGTCTTTTCTTTCCCTGTTTCTCTCTCATTAAGGGCCTCTGTGTACAGCTGGGCAGGTTGCATACTGCACAAGGATGCCTGGCCAATGGAGTGAGTGGGGTTTGAAATCCAGACCATGCTGCACCTACAGAGCTGTGTATACCCAAGTGGGGTCCCCTTTTTCTAATTATCACAAAGGCTCCCTATGAGCTGGCAGAGGTCCTGCTCTTGCCATAGCTAAGCATAGAGGCAGGGCCATGGTGGAGATACAGAGATCAATGAGGACAATGATGGCCTCAACTTCCCCGGCTAGGTCATGTGACAAGAGGAAGGGGCTGGGCAAGAGCACTGCCCTCAGCTCGGGACTGGACCTGGGCCTGGGAGAGCAGACCGGACTGGGTCCCTGGGGAGAGGGAGACCTCTGAGTTTGAAAAGCTGGAGTCTGGGAGTGCCAGAGGGAGGATATCAGTGTGGTCACCTGGGGCAAGGTCTGGTGGGGCCAGGAAGGGCCTCAGAGGAAGCTCTGTGCTACAGCTGGGCCCTCTCAGCCCAGGAGGCTCAGCCCACCCTCCTGGGCACCCTCCTGTTGTGTGGAAAGGGAAATCCCAAGGGCTCATCTTCCAGGGTGAACGCAGAACTCTGGGACCCTCTGCTGGCACAGCCCAGTCTCCCCTGGGCTCTCCTTCTCTTAGGAAATCCCAGAGGGTGAGACACAGGAAAGAATCTGGTCTTGTGGGCTTGTCCTTGGGGTGAGAGGGGAGAATAAATCCGTTCTGTGCATCTTCTTGGCCAGGGCAGAGCAGGCCTCTTCCTGAACAGAACTGTGCTCAGGGTTACAGTAGGGGCCTTGAAGGGGATCGGGTTCCCACAGTCTGAGCCTGGGCCGCCCACTCCGATTCTAACTAACACTGAGGCCTCTCACTCTGGTGGGCAGGGCGGGGTGTGGCTGAGGCAGGGCCCCTGTTTGGCCACAAGCATTCGGAGCAGCCCCTCTCAGCCCACATCTCCTCATGTGATTAGGCCCTGCTTGATCCTGGATCCCAGGGCCCAGCCAGAGCCCGCCACGGCAGGGACTCTGCAAACTGCCCTGGAACCAGCTAACCGATTTCCAAGCACCTCACCCCAAATCAGGAGCCACCCTTACCCCATGGATCCCCTCCAGGCCCCGTCTGAGGGAAATTCTGGCCATTTCTGTACCATCTGGGGTCCCTCATCTGACCCCTCCACTCACTTGTTCAATGAACAAATGTTTGGCTGATAGGTCATGGACCCATGTTTTGTGCTATGGGACAGGCAAGATGGTCAAGACACAGGTAACAAAGAGCGACACCTCAGGGAGAATGGTGAGGACTAGCCTAGGAGAGGCCAGCGGAGGTGCTGAAGGTGAAGACGGGGGAAGGAGACCTCAGGCAAGGGGTCAGACGAGGTGGTATGTGACTGGAGTTTGAAAGATGGCTTTGTGTAGACAAGGGAGGTTCCTGGGTGGTGCAAATAGTTTGCACTTGGCTACTAATCTAAAGGTTGGCGGTTCGAATCCACCAGGCAGCACCACAGAAGAAAGGCCTGGAAAACTGCTTCCATAAAGACTACAGCCAAGAAAACCCTATGGAGCAGTTCTACTCTGTAACATATAGGGTTGTTCTGAGTCGGAATTAACTTGACAGCGATGGGTTTGGTTTTGGTTTGGTTTTGTGTAGACAAGAAGACCAGGACTCAGAGGGGTTAAGTATCTTGCCCAGATCACGTAGCTAGAAAAGTGGCAGAGCCAGGATTTGAACCCAGGAGCCAGTCTGGCTTCAGCACCTAATGTTCCTAACCACTTTTCTGTGCTGCCCCTATGGAACCCATTGCCTTTGAGTGGATTCTGACTCATAGCGACCCTAAAGGACAGGGTAGAACTGCCCCGTAGGGTTTCCAAGGCTGTAAATCTTTACGGAAGCAGACTGCCACATCTTTCTCCCGCAGAGCAGCTGGAGGGGTCGAACCGATGACCTTTCAGTCTGCAGCCAAGCACTTAACCATCACGCCACCAGGGCTCTGCCTCTGTGAAGGACAGGTGGAATGGGGACCAACCAGGAGGAAGCTGTTGCACCAGCCGAGGTGAGAGGCAAGGGATATATGAAGGAAGATATTAAGTTGAACGATATGAAAGTGCCATTTCTGTAAGTCCAGTTGAATATCCAGTTTCAATTAGTCCAATATAAATAGTTGCTGGGGAATGGAAAGGCCAGGCTGTATTTCAGAGATATTTAGGGGGAAGAATTTATGTGCTTCTATGTGGAGGAGCTGAGGGAAGGAGCGTTTCGGGATGATTGCAGGACCTGGGCCTCATCCCAAGAGGAGGGGTAAGAACCAAAGGCAGGTAGCCCAGGGAAGCTGAGTCTTGATCTTGGGCAACTTGGGGGTGGTGCTGGGCACCGAGGGACAGAGACCAACTGCAGCGTGGTGAGGAGTGCCTGAGTCTGAGTGGTAAGGACATCAGATAAGGAGTCAACACAGCTGTTTCTAGAAGCTGGCTCTGAGCAGGAGCCTGGGAAGGGCCCATCCAGAGGGATGGCAGAAGCACTCTGCTCTAGGTGAGAGGGAAAGGCTGACCTTCTGGGGTGGGGCTGTCTGGGGCAGAGGTGCCGAGAGGACTGGAGCCCTGCTTCCTGATGTTCTCCCACCCACTACAAAAGGGCCTGCAGAGCACACTGGCATTGGTCCACATAGTGGGAGGGCAGGCAGTGAGGGAAGTCCGCAATTCCGGCTGCCCAGGCAGCCCTTTGAAGTGGTGGGGAGGTGAGTGACATCCTGGACACCGGCCACAGGCGTATGTGTATCCCCAGGCTCCGCATGCGAAGCTCAGCATTGATGGTGGGTGGGTACCCAATGAGCACAGGTATCACAGGTGGGTGCTGAAGGGCTGAGCACATACCCTGTGGCCAGAGGGGCCTCTGGGGGTAAGAAAGGGCCAACTCTGCTCCAACAGGTCAATCCCACACTCACAAGAGACCCCAGAATGAAGCATCCCATCAACACCAACCTCGTCAACCAGGTCCTGGTACTGCAGGGGCACCTGAGTCCATCCAGCCACAGTCTCAGTGCCCACCGACCCCAGCTCCTGCCTGAGCAGTGCTGGTGCACACTGAGGCACAGAAGGAGCCACCGCCTGGGGCTCCCCAAAGCGTTGATGCACTATTTCCCTGGGGTGTCTGACTCATGCAGGGAGAGGTGAGCCCAAGTTCACTTCCCTGGGATTCCCCTGAGCTGCTGGTTTCCTACCCCCATCTTTGGCTATGGGGCAAACAGCCTGACTTGGTTTGCCTAAGTACGTAGACTCAGAAAAAAACCTCTTCATCCTTAAGGGTGGCACGGCCTGCAGTGGGAAAAATCCAAAACCCCAAACCCATTGCTGCTGAGTCGATTCTAACTTATGGCGACCCCATGTGTTACACATAGGGTTTTCTTGGCTGTAATCTTTATGGAAACAGATCATCAGGCCTTTCTTCCGCGGCACTGCTGGGTGGGTTTGAACCATCAACCTTTAGATTAGTAGCGGAGCGCAAACCTTTTGCCCCACCCGGGGACCTCAGTGGGAGAAAGGGATCTGCCAATCCCAGATGCCACCACATTAGTGGCAGCACTCCCCATCACCTAGCTTCTCCCCGCCTCCTGGTCCCTGCCATGCACACAACTATATTCTGAGACCAGTTTTAGATCTGAACACCACAGCACAGAGCTGGCTGCAGGCACTTGGCTCCCAGCCAGTGCCCAGGCCTGAGGCTCCCAAGGACACAGCTTTAGATCAGTGCCTTGACCTCTGCCAGGGTCTGCCTCCTGGCTGTTCCTGCGCCCCTCCCCAGCCTGCTCCCCTGCCCCCAACACGGACACAGCAGGGACACGGGAGTCCACAGGCTCTATAGGTCAGCAGGGGAAGGGAGTGGGGGGCACACCCTTGCTGCTAGCAGGCTGCTTTCCAGGTGGTCAGAACCTCAAGTCCTCCGAACAACAGCTCCTTCCCCCAGGCCTGAGTGGGGCCTCCGTCCCTGCGGGTGACCCAAGCCTGCCCAGGCTGCAGCCCCAGCCCGAGGAGGATGAGAGCATTTTTCCTTCCCCAGTGTCGATTGTTGATGGAGAACAGATGTGCACACAGCTGGCTGGGCAACACCCCAGCCTCACCTTTCTCGTTCCCCAAACCCTCCGGCAGAACAGGGAGGTGGGAGGTGGGGCCGGGGGCCGGGAACAACAGGGAGAGAACGGAGTTCTGGGTCCCGCACCGGCAAGGGTCTTTGGTAGGGGGTGGGGGTCACAGAGAGGCCCAGACTAAACAAAGACAGAAAGGGTCTGGGTGAGCAACGGCCGCTCTCGGGTGGGCCGAGGCTGCCTTCCTCCCTCCTCCAGGCTGAGAACAGGACCTACTCATCTCTCCAAAGACAACAGGGGTGGGTGTGTTTCCTCAATGACCCCCCACCAGGATTCCTTCCGAAGGTTCTCTGCCTCCCCCTTCCCTGTCTGCCCAGGGAAGCAGACACTTGCAAACACCCCACCCCACCCCACATGGTCACCACAGAGACCAGTAACCCCTTGAAGGCCAGGCACAGCTTCCCTCAACGGCTCACCAGAGCTCCTCCAACCTGGTTGGTTACAGGCCAGAATCACCCAGGGAGCCACTCAAAAGACAGCCAGCAGGGCCCCATCCAGACTGGCCGGGGATCCGAATCTTCAAGCACGGGGCCCCGGAATCTGTATTTTAACACACCTCAAAGGTGGTTTACAGGTGACTAACCTGGCCCAGCTCCCCCACCTCAAGCATCTTAACAGCGGTGCAAGGACTGTTTCCATTTAACAGACCAAACATTTAATGGGAGACTGAAGCCCAGAGAGGTTGTGACTTACTCAGAGTTACACAGCACATAACGGGCAGGCCTGGGCTAGAGAACCCATCTTAGGAGCCTATGCCCAGGGCCCACTTCCCTGTTCTGTGACCTCCGCCACACCCCACACGGTGAGCGCACTGGGCCAGGGCTTCCACACTTACCCCTCGGGCTTGGGCCCCTCGCCCTCTGGGGGCCCGTCGATGTACCAGCTGCCATAAGAGTAGTCCTCTGTGGCCCCAGCGGTCTCATTTCCTGCTGCCTGGGACGACATCCTCTTGTACCTTTGCTTTTGACCCCCAGACAAAAGAAAAAAAGCCACTACAGATGTGAAAAAGGGCTTTAAAAAAAAAAAAACTTAAACAAAGAAACGTTTCTCTTAATCCTAAAGGTTACTTTCTTGCTTTTAGCTGTCTGGGAAAAGCCCGTCTGGGAGTGAGGGCCTGGGCAGGCTGGCACTGGACGAGGGGACGGGCCTCTCGTGTCGCCTCCCGTCCCTTCCTGCCCAATTTTGCTCAGTCCTGCAGAAGCTAACTATACCCCCTTAGAGGTCTTCGGAGTCTGGCTGGAGCATCTATCTGTCTGTCCAGCAGGTCTTCGCCCAAAGGAGATTTTCAAAAAGGTTTGGCCAGTCTGAGCTGCCCACTGAGACCCCTACTCCTTCCCCTTCCCAAGCCCACTCAGACGCACTCACAGACACACTCCCAAGGGAGGACAGGGAGGAAAGAGTTGCAGAGATGAAAGGGTGGGCGGGCTGCAGGCGGCTCTGCAAGGTCCAGCCAGGCCCTCCCAGCTGGGCGCCCCCGCTCCCTCACTCTCAGGGCCCAACCTAAGCCCCCTTTGTTTGGCCTCCTTCGAGACCACCCCTCAGTCTCACCCTGCCCCTCTCTGGCCCCTTTGGGCATCAATGATAGGAACACAGCACAGTCATTTACGAAGCCCCCCTCCTGGCAGAGGGGTCCCAGCGCCATTGGCTCTCGAGTCCCGGAAGGGTGTGGCCAGGAGGGCCCCTCTTCCCCCAACACCTGGCTGCACACACATACCTACTCCAGCGACTGCCCCGAAACTTCCACACCTGCCCACCACATCTGCAGTACCCCCCACAGGTCCAGCATTCCGGCAGCCCAAGGAGACTGCTGGGGCTGGGCTGGGCGCAGAGGCAGGGAGGGGGGGCCTCTCCATTCCTTCTGGGGTTTCCATGAACGAGGCAACATGTGTCTCACTGGGAAAACCTTTTTGTTTCTTCAAGTTGATTTCACAGGGAGATAACTCATCCCCACAAGGCGGAAATTAGTCCTTTAAACACAGTCCAGACCCACGGAAGGCAAGAAGGGCCCCGCCTGGCTCCCAGCTCCTCCAGGGTGTGGGGTGAGGGTGAGGAAGACCAATCTGGTAAGGGGCTGAGGGTGCCACCCCTACCTCCCTCTTCTGAGAAGGTGGACCCTGGCTGGCTCCCCTCCCAGTCCCTGGACCCCAGCCCAGAGGGAGGGGCAAGATACAGATGAAGGCAGAGAGCAGTTCTCAGGCCCTAATTCCTGGGCCCCTGCCCCCTAATACCCTATGAGGGGCCTGGGCAGTGGCCCTCCCTGGCCAAAACAGTCATTTAGCAAACTTTTTTTTTTTTTTTTACTAACTTTCATTTAAAACTTAAACATAAATGTATTGAACACCTACTACCTGCCAGGCATGATTCTGGACACTGGGCACGTGAGAGTTTACAGTTCAGCAGGAGACACAGACAAGTAAATAAATGACTTCTCGGGCCTGAGGTGACCAAGGAAAGGCACAGGGTGACAAGGAAAGGCACATGCCATGGGAAACCTGACTTGGTCTGAGAGAATCAAGGAGGGCTTTCTGGAGGAAGTAGCCTTTCTGTTGGAGATCTGAAGGGCGAGGGAAGGTCAGCTGAGCAGAGGGTGGAGGGTGGAGCATGGAGTGAGGGTCGGGGGCAGGGAACCATGTTCCTGATAGAGGGAACAGCATGGGTGAAGAAGGCTCAGAGGAAATAGGATTGAAATCCTAAAGGGTCCCCATCCAAACTCTTTAGCCAGGCCCACAAGGCCTTCTAAGATTAGGGCCTGAGCACTTCCTCCCCCTTCTTTCCCAATAGCCCCTCTTCCAGGAAGATGGCACTGACCACCCTCCCCCACCCCCAGAAGTGTCTGCTGACTCAAAGCTGAACTTGAACTTTATTTGCTGCAATGCATGAGCCCACACTGGCCATTTAACCCCAGGAATTCCAGATAAGTCCAGGCTTGGCTGCGAGCTCGCTCCCTGCAAGCAGAGCTCCGACTCTTCTTCCCATCCTCTCCCCCGCCTCTCCCCCTGCCCCTGCTCGCTGTGCCTGGCACCTGGGGTCAGAGGGACTGCCTACATTTGGTTTGGCAAAGCCATTGTTTGCTCTGGAGACTATCATCTTCCGTAGGCCTGTCCCATATCACCCACTGTTCTGGCTCTAGGTTTCACCATGCAAGCTTTCCAGACTTTCTTGCTCCAACACCAGAGCCCACCACCCCCTTCCCTGCTCAGTGGTCTCAAACCCTTAGCTTAGTGAGCAGCCACCTCCTATCTCATTTTAAATCCCGCTCATGGGTAACACAAATGGTTTGCGCTTGGCTACTAACCGAAAGGTTGGCGATTCTAATCCACTCAGCAGTGCTGCAGAAGAAAGATCTGGCAATCTACTTCGATAAGGTTACAGCCATTGAAAACCCTATGGAGCACAGTTCTACTCTGACACACATGGGCTCTTCATGAGTCGGAATCTGCTCAAAGGCAACGGGCTTGGGTTTTGTGTAAAAAACAAAAAGCCAGTTGCCATCAAGTCAATTCTGACTCATGGTGACCCCATATATGTCAGAGTAGAACGATGCGCCACAGGGTTTTCAATGGCTGATATTTTGGAAGTAGATTGTCAGGTCTTTCTTCTGAGGTGCCTCTGGGTGGGCTCAAACCTCCAACCTTTGGGTTAGCAGCCAAGCGCGTTAACTGTTTGCACACCCAGGGACCCCACCCCCTCACGACACCTCCAATCACTGGAGTCCAGTCAGAGACGGGGAGCTCAGTCCCTCTACAAGGCAGAGATGATCCTGGTTAGACATCGCTGCCTGTCAGGAGTGGCTCTCTTCTTAGAGGGAGCCTGGCTCTGCCTTTCCCAGGCTGGTTTGCTCATTCATTCATCCACAAATATCTATTGCATGCCAACTCTGTGCCAGGCTCTGTTCTACATGCTGCAGCGATGAGCAAGAAAGACAAAGTCCTGGGTCTCGGGGAACTTACTGTGCAGTGGAGGAGACAACGCATAATGTGCCTTGAGTGCTGAGGGAAAATAAAGCCGGGGAGGGAGGAGAGAGATCGGCAGCAGTGGCCCATTTTAGGCAGGGTGGGCAGGGAAGGCCTGGCTGAGGAGGTAGTATCTGAGTAGAGACCTGAAGGAAGGAACAGGGTCCCGACTGGGCACTGAGGAAAGGCCTTCAGGCTGCCTGAAGGAGTCCCCACCAACCTCAGGGGCCACAGCCAGGCTGTCAGGGAGGGGATCCCTCCAAGCCCAGGTACACCTCTTCCCCATTGCACCCATCCCTGGGCCAAACAGCTCACCCCCAAAAGGGATAGCCAGTGGATATCAGCCCTCCTAAGGGGAGCCTGGTGCCCACAATGCCCACCTCCCTCCATACTGTGGAGTTGCAGACCATCTTCAGGGAGGCCCTAAGCAGAGGGGAGGAAATGGTGAGCTTCATCCCTCTCCCCTGGTGAGGGCATGGTAGCCAGAGGGCAAGCAGAGGCCTGTGCCCAGTACCTAAGCAGGGCAGGGCTGGGAAGGGGATGGGGAAGGGGCGGGTCCAGAGGTAAAGGCAGAGTTTCAATATGGCAATGGAAAATACCTTGGTTGGGGAGGCAGCCCACCCCGGTTTGAGCCCTGGGGCTGGCTGTGTGACCTCAAGTGAGTCCCTTCCCCTCTCTGGGTCTCAGCCCACCTCTGTCCCAGGAGGGATAGGTCATTCAACCTGACCTGAATACTCCTTGGTGGTGGGCTCTTCTCCTTCCAAGGCCCCACTTCCTCAGCCACTTCCTGGCCCAAGAATGTGGAGCCAGCACACTTGTCACTAGTTGTAGCAAGAAGGTCAAAGCCATGGAGAGTGGCTGCAGCCTGCCCAAGTGTCCCCCGTTGCTGTCCTCCTGTCCCACGATTCTCCTAGCCACTCTGGTGGGGGCAGGGTAGAAAAGCCAAGGATACAGTGTGGCCGCATGGCTCAGGTGGGGAGAGGGACCCCCCTTCTCGAGCCTAAAGTATCTCCTCAGCTTGGAGCTCCCAGCAACAAAATGGGAGAGGCAACACAGAAGTGTTAGGAAGGACGCCCCCAGACTACAAGCTGGCAAGGAAAAGTATTGGGATGAGAAAGATGGTAAGGACCTGCTCCTGAAGAATTAACTCCAAAGGTCTAGGCAGCAGGGTCCAGGGCCTGCCCCCTGAAGTTGCCTTTGTAGGCTTCATACCCAGAAGAGTCAGGGGGACCAGCACCTGCCTTCAGGGGAGGAGGGGCCTGAGAGAGGGTGTGCTGGGGAGAGGGAACTGCAGATGCTCAGGGGAGAAAGGAGAGGAGGGAGGGGCAAGGAAAAGGCTTCAGCAATCTTGGAGGCTTCCTGGAGGAAGGGGCCTGGAGCAGGGTCCTGAGGCCAGGGAGGGTCAGGAATGGTAGACAAAAGGAGGTTTAAGTGTCTTAGGAGAACTGAGAAGGAGTGTCTGAGAGGTGAGCAGGGAGCAGGGCAGGGTCAGGGCTGCCTAGCTGAGGCCTGTGTGAGCCCATGAGGGCATATTCAAATGAGGCTGAGGCCAATATCCAAGGAGACCTTTGCTCAGTAGCCCAGGCCAGCAGGATCCCAGATGGGCACAGACTAGGGGGTAGCTGAGCCCTGCTTGCTATGGAAGGGTGTCCTAGGAAACTTCCAGGCTAGCGAGAATGGTTGCACAACTTGAAGAATGTAATCAATGTCATTGAATTATACTTGTAGAAATCGATGACATGGTGTATGTTTTGTTATGTATATTTTCACCACAATAAAAAAGAATAATAAATTTTTTTTGCCATCTGGGCCGGCACGAGCCACCCTGCCCCTCAGCTGGAGCTGGTCCTTGAAGGCCTGGGGACAGTGCTTCCTTCCTCCCTATGTTTTTGTTCAAGTTGATTAAACCCGAGGAATCCTTGTGGCCAGGAACAGAGGCCCTTGTGCGTGTCTTCAGCAGCCAGTGGTCATCAAAATCCTCAAAGGGCAAAGTGCTTAGCTTAGAAGGAGCTAACAGTGGGCCAGAGGGAATAGGGAAGGCCAGAGGCACCCCTGAACCTCAGAAACACCCCAAGGACTCCCAGATCTCTCAGAGCACCTCCAGAATCTCAGTAACATCCCCAGAATTTCAGCAACACCAAAAAGGCCCCAGGTACCTCAATATCCTCCTCAAGGACCCACGGAACTTCAGCAACGTCCCAGAGCCTCTAAAACGCCTCAGAACCTCA